CGATCTATGGGGGCAGGAATCATCGCCGATGGTGTGCCCTGTGCTCGCTGCCCTTGCGGCCCGAGTCGTGTCCTCGGTCTCACTCGTCGCCCTCCTCCATCATCTCCATCTGCCGCCCGTGGTTTGGGTACGTAATCGGAGTCCCCTGCATCATCAGTGCCTGTGGTCTCTCCCGGGGCGACATCTGTGCTGTCGTCGTGGATGATAAGTACACTGCCGCCTATCTTCTGACCTGCCACTGCATTCCCTGTGCCCTCCCTGCTGACGATATCCGCCGTCGTTGCATCCCTCCCTCCAACATCCAATGCGTCGCCGTCAGGTGCAATCTCTTCGTCCTCGAGATGCACAACGCCCGATCCTCTCTCTCGGGAACGCATATGTGAGGATGAACGTGACGCCTTCCTTGCCGAGGCCTTCTTCCTTGCCCGAGAAAGACTCGCCTTTGCGGCTCTCGTAGCATGGACATCAGACGTCTTCAACGGCATAGCACTCCCCTGTCGGTCCTCAAACTCGGCCATGGCGGTGTGCCGAGCACCATCCACACTCCCAATGGATCGTTTCCCCATAGACGGTGCAGATGGCCTACCAACATTCCGGACTCCCTGCTCATCCATCCCCTCAGTACTCTTCCCGCTGGCATAAAATGCCACTGTCGGCAAAACAGTGGCGCTGTCGCGCCGTGCTGTCGCCGATGACCCAACCACAAGCTGTTCTGTCGCGTCTGCGCCACTGTTTGTGACGGGGACGCCCTCATCTGCGCCGACAGCCGCGGCAATCGGATGATGCTCTAAGTTTGACGGCGGACTTGGGGGTCTTGCTTCTCTTTCRAGTGTGTCAACTGGCCCACCATGAGACCCTTCCTCTGCGCCGTCAAACGAATGAGAAAGACTGCGTTGTGCGATGCTGCGCTGACCGTCGCGGCGGTGTCGCGTCGCCGTCTCCGCCAAACCAAGGGCCACCTCGCGTAGTTTGCCAACACGAAAAATTGTGGGCGTGGCAGACACCATTGGGCTCGTAATCATATCGGCGATATCGCCTCCTGCCACGTGAAACCCATCCGATCCACGCTCGATGACAACAGGCTGTTGTGGCTTGGGCGGTGACACATGGGGTAGACCTGGGGATACCAACGTCGACAAGTCCGGTAGAAAACGAGCGCAGAGTCCATGGTCAGTAACTCGCCGGTACCCGGAAGACTGCCGGTGGGGCATGTGAGGCCGACATGGTGTGCGGCGCTGTGCTCGGCTGCGGGAGTGTGTGAGATATCACGTTCCGGGAGATCGTCACCTTGACACACAACAACGGTCCCCTGACTCCCCTCCATCAATGTAGGCGGTGGCCACGGTTGAACACTGCGAGGTGAGAGCACACTTTCTTGCTCCGCCGCTGCCAGTGGTTGTCCCATATCCGAGGTCGCTGCATCTAAGACTGCCGCTCTGGCAGATGTGAGTGGATGCAGTGCACCGACAGAACCCTCGTCCCCCACTGCCGGGAGAGGACTGATTTCTCCCTAAACCTCGGGATGACGCATCAACTGTGCTGGACCCTGTTGCGATTCTGGGACTGCTGCGGAAGGCCCCATCGGAGCTGTCGCATGCATACTCGAAGTGTCACCTCGTGGATGACCGCTCCCGCCATGCAGCTCGATCCGCTCCTCGCCGCCGTGATCGCTGAAAGAGTCCTCAGAAACAGGAATCTGCCCAGTTGCGGGGACTCGTGATAGTGGAATGCTAGCAATCCCACCGTGACGTTTGCGCACACGTGAAGCGATAGTGTCTTTTTCCCTTGGTCCGCGTTTCAAGCGCCTCAGGTCACCGCCCGAGACAAGTCGTGAACCATCATCATGCACTCCATCTCGAGCGTCATCTACTGCTGTGCGGTGCTCGCCCCCTGCCCCGTCGGCGCGCATCGTGTCACCATGTGCTGGTCGTGGCCTATCTCCTCCGTCACCGTGACCATCGCCACTGGCGCCATCTTCGTCGCCCACGTTCGGGTGACGGTCGTCGAAATCGCTGTCGCCATCCTGTGAAGGCCTGCCAGTCCCGAAGAAATCCTCGTCATCGCTGGACGAGCTCTCGTACAAAAAGTCTCCCTCCTCCCATCGCTGTCGAGGCTTGCGTACTAGCTCGTCCACTGCCCTTCCACGACTCGCTACACTACGCCTCCCGCTAGGACCTCCACGCCCGCCTCGCCCGCGACCGCCCCGACGACCACCTCCGCGACCGCCGCCATGACACCTCCTCCTGTCAGACTCCCGCAAGCGATGAGTGGCTCCCATGTGAGACACGACGCACATCCTCTCTCTCGCCTGCGTCAACTCCTCCTTAGTGACTGTCACACGGGCTCCTCGGTCTGCCACAAGCTGCTGGTCGGTGGGCACCTCCTCCTCCACCTGCTGCCAGTAGTGCACCCAGCTCCCATACGGATGTGGCCTGTCACTGGGAGCATCGTCCGACATAGCCTGCSTGTCGAGGARCCGAAGGTTCMAATGGCATCGCACGAGCTTCTCGGCCCGCGCCACCTCCAATCTGTTACGAGATTTGGAGTGGATGAAACTCCAACGGGACCAAGCTCTCTCGCAAGGCGACGCAGTCGCCCACACACGCAGTATCCGGCCAGCGAAGAAGGCCGTGTGCGGGAACCTCTCCGCCTTCGACTCCCAGAAACATGCTGGATGGGTATAGCTCCTCGCCGCCAGGTCCATGGCCACATCGTCGAATGGCGGCTCCCTGGAATGGAACTTGTCAATGGCAGTAAGGACCTCGGTATGCTGATCCGAATGTTCTGGGTACCCAAACTGAATCAGAGCGAGTTTTAAACCGTGCTGCATCTCCTCGTCATCTAGCATCGTGCGGTCTTGAAACTCGGGGTCCAACATCATGGCAGCAACATGAGCAAGCGACTTGAACATGGTGCGGCATCTGTCAAACACTTCAAGCAGCGCGTCCTGCTCGTCCTTCTCCAAAGCGGCACATGCAGACAAACAACGBGCGATCATCTCGTCGTACCGACGCAGAATCTTGTCAATCTGCCTCGTGTCGCTGTCCACCATCTGCAGCATGTCCATGATGGGATCCAACAACTTGCACAGCGCTCTCATATCCTCCCACCATTGAGGACAACCGACACATGCTGTGACCTCCGCRGYGTCGTCYCGAATCTTCTTCGTTGAYCAAACAGTGTCCTTCCATCGATCATCAACGACCACCTGCATAAGATGYGATTGCAGCAGAAGAAGTCGTCGCATCATAATCACATGCGTACCGAAGCGAGTCTCGGCGGGAAGCAGCAGAGCCTTCRTCGTGAAAGCTTGCAAAACTTCGCGAGCGTGGCTATGACKCTTGAAAAACTTTGTGACCAAACGCGCCTGAGCAATGCGGGTCGCCACCCAGTCAATGCTGCCGATGTCCTCAAGGATGAGGTCCATGACGTGTGCCACACAAGGAATCCAGAAGATGTGCTTGACACTCTCATCCGACTAATCAACCTGTAAAAGATGGACAGTGACAGGAACGAACACAAGTTCCACAACAACCACAGAGACAAACAAGAGAAGGAACAAACATAAAGACCCCTATGGACAAAAAAAAAAAAAACACCCCTAGAAAGAAAAAAAATAATAAACAAATCAACACACATTCCACGGCATCCCGTCTTTGCCACACCCCCTAGACCCCCCATGCATTGCCGCTCGTGGCAGTCCCCCCCAAGAACAAGAGAAGGAACAAACACAAAGGTAGAAATAAAGATAGAAAGAAAAAGAAAAAAAAACACACACACATTCCAGAGCATCCCGTCTTTGACGCACCCCCTAGAGTCCTAGACCCCCCATGCATAGCCGCTCATGGCGGTCCACCCATCATTAAGGAACAAATAAA